TTATGTAGAAGCTAAATAAATAATATGTGCGCAATTACTACTGAGATAAGTTTCTTGTAACCAATGCTTTGTATGAAATGGATCTTACATAAATTCATCTGAAATAGGTATGTCGGGTATAATCACGTGTAGTCGGAGAAGTCATGTGTTAGGGTTGACAAAAACAGCAGATCTATCAAACTTCGAAGTAGTGTATAATTAAGCATCTTGGGCGAAAATAATGACGTACTCGCACGTCAGTATAGTTGTTGAATACCATGGTAACGTTATGTTACAATAGCTCAAGATGTTGTATCACGTGATGAAGACATATTCTCTTGGACCGACTGAGATGTTAGTGTCAATATTTCGAGAGATCGAATCGCTCTTGCCAGATTCGTAACAATACTAGATCATTTCGAATAGCTGTACTGGTTGTGATCAGCATATTGCACTAGTATAGGTAGTCTGATTGATGCGTCCGCGTTGGCAGATAAAGATGTCCTCCCTCATGAACCACTCACCATCATCAGCTGACCGGTTGTCCAATTTGCAAAACCCGGCGCCACAGTTCTTGCTTATCGTCTATAGCAAGTACTTCAGGCTGATCGGAAGCCCTCCCCTCTTACCAATTTTCCATTGATTGACGATGAATGAGAAGCCTCCTCCCACTTTCACACACTGGCATTAAAACTGAGTAGTGCACAATACGGCGCTAATAGGCTGCTTTCGGACGCTTAATAAGCGCTGCAACAGCAGTCGAAGTCAGAAACCTCGACTATTTGGGCAGCTTGAGTATTCATACGACACGCTATATATCCCTTCCCCTTAGCTATATACCGAGATCAATGAAACTGACCCTTCAATGGGTTTTCATGCGTTGATCAAAGACATTGTTCTGGAACAGACCTCTCCGTTTATAAGGAAAAAAATCACAGCATTCCATTTTCGTATTATGTGTCTTGGCCGGCAGTAAACACGCCGGTTCGAGTCGGATTGACAGATTTGGAACGAGCTTGACAAATAAAGCTGACTGGGCTAAAGAGACCGCAATTAAGAACGCCACGGTGCAAGCTGCCTCGAGTCTTGGGGCAAGGCGGGTCACTGTATACAGGAGAGGATTGGGAAACGTTTAATTTATGAAGTGGCACCTAAGTTATTCATTCGTTCTTCACCTGCCGGTAAGTTGAAGGTGCGATCAAACTTGCCCGGGTAAGGATAATGCCAACCCACGAGGCAGTCGCTTTACCAGATGTCCACTGTATACTCGTTCCACTAAACCCTTCTAAGACGTGGTTATAGAGTTTGTTCTTGTGTCGACTAACTTATTAATCTTATTAATATTCCCAACACGACAAATATTAAGGTGTAATTTGTCTATCTTCACAAAGCTGTCTCTAGATTTGCGGGGAGAATTTTGGGGCATTTCCAGTAATAACGGGATGTCATAGAAAAGTAGTAAAAGGGAGTGGAGATACGGGATCACGGTTATGACTGATTATGTGATAGACTTTTTCTTGATATTATATTATGCACATGATGTAAAAATTAACCTAATTTTCGCCATAGAAATTAATAATTTAAAATAATTATTAGTTAAATGTTTAATAAAAAATAAACAACAGATTCTATGCCAGAAGGGAGTGTGCGTGAAGATGCGGCAATCGTACCAGTCAACAACGTGTTGCGGGCATACTACTATATCAAGAGTTATCTTCTAAAACTGCCAGGTTAATTTGATTTTGTTAATATATTTATTTTATTTTATTTTATTTTATTTTATTTTATTTTATTTTATTTTATTTTATTTTATTTTATTTTATTTTATTTTATTTTATTTTATTTTATTTTATTTTATTTTATTTTATTTTATTTTATTTTGCCGCTGAAAAATAGTATATATTAATAACGGGGGTTTAGACTGATGTGATCTGTTACATGGCAGGACAGTTGACATTCTACTACGCTTTCCACACAATCGAATAGAAATGAGAAATTCGCTCGTAACACATTCTAACACGTCTGCAACGTTTTCTAACACGTCCGTAGGGTAATTTACAGACGAATGGGTGTCATCATTCTCACCAGTGACTTATGTAATTATCTTCAATATTTGACATTAAAGTGCTGAGCAGCTCCATGTGTGATGCGAGTAATTTAATAATTTGTCTGTACATGAAAAAATATTTTTATGATTATGAAAAGTAGGGATTTCTTACGCTGTGATATTGTAATATTGTGTGGAGTTTCTCCCATAGTATTCGGTCAACATATAAGACCATCGCGTCATTTCAATACAGTTTGCGGGAGCCGTGTAATTGAACGCAGATTAATCACAGATGAATCGCCCCACCTCTGACAAGACTGTGAACACATTCAGCAACTTACATAACTCCAATATGTGTATGTCGTCTTTTAGACCATTAACTGCGAGATCCCGCGTTTTGCGTGAAACCGAACTTAAAAAAATGTGCTCAGTATTTTCTATTTCTGTGGCAGACGGACGGGTCTCGCCTTTCACGCAATGTGCGAGAAATCTTACAGTGAACTAATGCTCTTAATAGTCACCAAGTGATTAATTCTTTTTCTAACATCAATATATAACCCAGACAAACACATTAGATATCTCAGTAATGATCACTTAGTTTATTCCATTCCAAAAAATGTTTAAATAATAAAATTCCTTCCAAATATACAGTAAAATACTTATTTTTTGTGATACAGAAAACAGTATTTAGAAAAACAAAAATATACAGACAAAAAATCGTGGACTTGTATTCTGTGGTCGCTTATGAAAAAAACAAAACATGCAATGACAGTCGATTATGGCATTTTGGGTAACACCGTATTAAAACAAATACAGTGATTCTGTTGGTTTTTCAAAACAAATAACGGTAGATTAATGAACCCCGATTCGTTAAAAGATGCATTTGGATAATTATCTATTTAATATGGCAGATTTCTTTTTATTGGAGGGATATTTATAACGATATATACAATGTGGCTCATGTTCAGCATTTAATCGTTGATGTAGTGAATGTCGGCATGACCAGGTTTTATAATCAAATAAAAATATCGATACTAAACACTAAATACTTGCCAACCAATTTGAGTTCAAATGTATCTACGAACATTTTCTCGACAAACTCAACATCTATTGTCAAAAAGACATTGGATTTGTATGCGTCTCTCGAACTAAGCACATAAATGTCGCGTCGTCTCGCGAGATTTAGCCCCCGTTAGGGAAAACAAACTATGACATTAACTTTGTCTTCTATTTTCACTTCTCCTGAATAAAACAACGGCCAATTGGCCGGGTTATGTTGCAAGTGAATGTATAAGCAACATAACTTGCACCTTTCACTATCGGAACCCTTCATGCAATATGCAGTCGCCGTCCGCATCCTGTTGTACTCTATGCCCAAACACCAGTGGGTTGGTTAGCTTTGGTTTGAAGTCGTGAAAAACCGGTATCAAATATTACTGAGTTCGGGCTTGCCTGGAGAATGTATCACTAAAAATACTGTTATTTTCGCTCTTAAAAAATCTGAATTACTACGAAAATATTTGAATATAAGAATGACCTCAAGTCCTTGAGTTCGCCGTTGAATGAATGTCGATTTCTTGAACTTAGTTTCTCATCGTTTGCCAATTTCCTGTCTATAATTTGAAGGGTTTCTTGTACTATATGTCGGTTTCAATAAATGACACGTCGTATTTCATCCGCTTCGACGATAACTTCCTTTTTAATGAAACCTCCATATTTTAGTTGCCTAATACCCTATTCCCGTATTCCCATCCACCTTTCCCGACAATCCCCAGAAGGCGAAATCGCCTCCGCTAATTGATCAGAAACTTCCGGTTTGCATGCATGTCTAGATATGAACATGGTATATGTATTTCCTGCTATGAGTCCATTCCACTCACATTTTTAATTCCTTTCTGAAATAAGATTTTTTTTTTGAATTTTTTTTTGCTTGGCGACATTTTACTATCGTTCTCCCCATACTTGACAATCGTATTTCGTCAAAGACAGAAGATGGTGAAAATCAAACTGGTTTTATTAAATACTAAAAATGTTGAAGACTCACATTATGCTAGATCTTAATCGGACAATGTTTTTTTTTATCTAATTAAGGATCATGTTCATTCTGGCTTTCTCTTCCAATCAGGCGGTTTAGTCACTTATTCATTGTCCCAACTTGTCAAGTTCTGAAACTGGACGCTTGTAATGAAATTAAATAAACCCGATTTTAAAGTTTACAAGTCTGGCTATAATTTTATTTAAAGTTACCCGCAGATTAAATAAACAAATATGGCAGTATCAAATATGTTATTAATGCAAAAATGGCATTCAGACGAAAATATGATCAGGATATCCCTTCATCAAAAACTAGAATCTCGGGTATTCAAACTAATTACGTCGCTGTTTTCTGTTATTATTGACGCGGGTGCATGTTGTTCATCGACAAGTCGTCGTATGAAAACGATAAACCCATAATCCATTACAACTAATGTTGTGCCTTATGGCAAATTAATAATCATTAAATTTGCATTTCGGTCAATTAACAATATTGCAAAATTCTCTTCATTGAACTATAGACCTCTCGGTTTTCATACGTTAAACAAATCGACGTAATTGTAGTATTGTTCATTTCCGATCTACTGTTCTTTACAATGACTATTTTGATCAGCTGGGACCTGGCACTCACGAAGGGATGGTATTGATGGGTATTCATCCAAAGACAGCTTGGAAGATGGATGGGTTCTATCTGTTTTCAAATTCTCGTTACAATAGACTGCATAGACATCATTAAATTACATTATTCGACATATGCATTAAATAGTGTCATGTGTTAAGAAGCCATTTGTGTTAACATATAAATCCTTGCATCACCCATTAGTCATTTCGGGCCAGTATTTCTTATTGACTATGTTGTATGACTTTACTTTCTTACATAGCTCAAACTGCTTAGCCATTATGCATGTACTTATATATATATATAAAAAATAACCTTTTCTAAAATATACAGTGCGGAGGGTTCAATTTTCTTACGTAATCCTTTGCCATATGTATGAGTAAAACTAACTAAATGCCAAAATACACGAGAGTTTGCCATTTGTACACATCTACGTTGTTCAAACAGTGATCGTTGCCACCCTATCGTCAATAGCGCATCAAAACCACCTGTTCACCCAGCATGCATCAGTGAGCTACATCATTTCCGCTTTGCCAAGGCGTTTTTCCGAGATTCTCTATATGTTCTTTTGCTTTCATCCGCAGAGATACGATGCTAGAACTACGCGGATCATTGTCGTCTAGTTTATGATCCGAAGTCGGCGAGGTCGGCGGTATAGCAGTGACGGTAGTGGGGCTGATGGAACTTAGTTTTGGATTCAAGTTGATTGACCCTAGCGTTGTGTTAAAGTTCGAATTGAGGGCGGTTGACGTCGGTGGCATGAGAGGATAAGTAGAGATTCCCGGACCTAGTTGAGGCAGGTAACCGGGCAACGCGTGAACTGCGGTGGTATTAGCAATAGGTGGAGTAAGCCATGGATCCATGGGCAAAGCGTTGCTGTAGTTCGCAGGGGCGTGGTTTCTCTGCAGTGCTGTCATCGGATACTCCTGCAACTTCATCTGCTGTGCCTCCATCTTCTCTTGACGTCGCCACTTCGCTCGTCTGTTTTGAAACCATACCTGTGGAGGGACAAGAAATGAAAGACAGTCAGCATAGCCATTCAACCATACGCAACAACAATAATCAAAAATATTAAAAATTAATACAGTATGTTATGTGTATCTTTGCTCCGCTTAAATGCAAAACATTTATAATATCAAATATTTAAAGCTTGCAACTAAAATGACTTAGTTATAATAGTGACAGGAAGCGGAGAAATGAATGCACGATTACAGATAAAGGTGATGGGCGTGTTGTGCTGGAGAAGATGCTGAATACTGTCCCGACTTTGGAGCATTATACATTGTCAACCGTCGTAATCCACAGTAAGTTGGCTGTTCTCATTGCGTCACAAAAAAGGTAAATCCTTTTCGTCTGAATAAAACATTACAGGGTAAAACCGAAGCTGCGGACAATTAACTGAAAAACCATAAAACGAACGGCAGATCCCAAAATCAGTGTGCGATGAACTTGAAAAGTCGCCATCGTGTGTTTGATTGCCATGTTTGTTTTTGTGGCATTTATACACGTGTACATGAGAAGCTCCTTGAATCGTAAGCACCGCCACCAGGTGGATATCCTCAATACCCGGCACCGGTTAATTACGTTTTCAATCAGTGCATTTTGTATTTAAATTGAGGCCCTTGATGAAAAATTACTGTTTCTCGTTATATTACCGGGTGGTGTATATGGTTTGTTGACCTGATTACAAGCGAGATTGTTTATCTGTCTAAAGTTTTGTTTAGATAGCGATAATTCTTCATCAATAAAACGGTTAAAATGACGATGAAACATTGCGTTAGAATAAAATACCCGACACAATTTGTTTACGTTAGAAATACGACAAGTAGGGCACATTTGTTACAGAGCTTGTGTCTATTTCATGGTAGCAGGATGAGAAAGAAGACACGTGAAATGTCACTGGGCCTGCTTATAATATTCGACGTGCGTCATTCTTTTACGAAACGCACATAACACATTTGAGACGGTAAACAGTGGTAACATTCATACACTAATTCTTCACACTCTGCTCCATTGTCACTAGGGATGGCGAACGACTCGACAGTCAAGCGTCATGAGACCCAGACCCACTTCCGTTTTAGATTGATTACCCAGTGAATAGCAATGAAAGAAGGTTTTTAAAAATTGATTTAAAATACAATTAATTATAAAAGGATACCCCTTCCTTATGGCGCGTATTTTTTTTACTTTATTCTGATCGGCATCAAGATAAGGTGGGAGACTACTAGACTTGAAGTCGACTTCACCTGCCCCCTAATTTGTTCCAATTTGTGTAAAAGAGATCCAACCCGACGCCTACATGCGTCGGCGATTGATGCAGGGTGACGTCACTCAAGGAGATGAAATATCCAACATATTTTCAAATCATATTTTTACTGAATTCCGGTAAATAGAAAAACACACAGGCCTGGAGTGAAATGTAATTTGACGTGCTCAAAGAACCCCCAAACCGCGCCTATCACCCGACACCCGGTAAATTGATTACAGAGTGTTCGTCAACAACACATTAGTGCCCATTTAAGTTGAGAAAAATCTTTTTTTTCCACCCACGACCTCTACGCATTGATCATACTGATATTGAGTCGAGATTTACTACTGTTGAACTTAACAAAATAGTATCTTCTATGTGTCGGGGTTTGTTAGCGTCATTTTAACACACAAGACGGGTAATTTATGCAAAGAACAGCAGGGATTTAATGCGTCTGCCCGGTGATTAGAATTGACGAGACGTTTGCTGGCCTCCGTCATTCCCACGTATTCAGTGTTGCCTTCCGCTAGTACTTACTGTGTGGTTGTTAAAAGGCGCTTCAAGAGTCGGCTTTATTTAATACTAAAAAGAAAATTATGCCGATGCGTTGCAATAGAAAGCTTGATTTTTCCATCTTCAATAGAATTCTGTGGACAAAAACAGTACACATAGCGTCGTTCTTGTTCTATTCATACCGAACTGTTCCTCCACCACCCTAATTAATAGAATGGTGCTGACAAAACTTCCAACTCTATGTACAACAAATAATCACTGTCCTTACAGCATACTTTGCATCGAACTCAGAGATTATCACCATTTTAAATAAAATTATCGTTTTACGTATAATATTTATATATATATATATATATATATAAATATAAATTAAAATCGCGCATTTTTTGAGATTTTGTCAACTCAGTATGACGACATTGATATGATACGTTGTCTATTCATTTGGCTACACGTGTCAGGTGGTCGCGATGTTTAGATCGCCTGTCTCCAACTCTGGCTCCATTTAATACAGGCCAGTATTCAGACTCTATATTTAATGTTTGGGGTCGCCTTGTCTGTTTATGATAGTTTTCTGCGCCGTTACTAATTATCCTAGCCTTCATAGTGCAGCCATCGGCAGATGCAACCTTTTTGTCTACCCAGACTTCGACAACGTTTACATGAAATCGATGCCATCTGACTGAAATCGACACACATAATTTCGCTTTTTAGAGAATCAAGATATCGTAACACACAATCCCGATTTGCCATGGTATTACAGCAACATTAAGACAAACATCTGCGAAGGTGCGGGAATTAAAAACTAAGCACAAGCCAACCAAATTTCAAGAGGACTATAATCAATTTTTAAAAAATCAAAAACGATTTCTAAGTGGTGAACTATTCTATGTGTTCTCAAGTCGCCGCTCAGTCTTGAAAATTAATCAGCAATTTAGTGAAAATAGTGCGCGGTTTAAATCTTGTGGGAGAGGGATCTGTGTGAGGAGCGGTGTGATATAAGAACTGCCCACACTAATAACAGTAATCGGACTAACGCGGCAACGGTACCCTGCTGGTGAAGCTAACGGGTAAATATGATCATCTGTATAAATATTATGTTTAGATATTAAAAAGTAACTCGCAAGTAACCAGCGTTAATTCCTAAGTGTATACGTAGAGCGATTGTGTGCGTGGGTATGGCAGGATAGCCTCCAGCTAAGCAATGGTGAGAGTTGAAAATATAGCAGTAATACATACAGGTAGAGCTATTATCACTATCAGCCCGACAACGGACCACTTTCCTAATCATTGTTTAAACATCACTAATCGAAACTCGATAATGTAAATATAATCTAATGTTTTGATCACCCTGAAGGGATAGTTCGAAATTGGATTCCCAGTTCTCCGCTCAGAGCTGTGATACTGTTAACGTCGGCACCGAAAATAACACAAAAAGGGAATCTTCTCTAGGTGTTTGTTTTAACTTCATTCTGTATTCGTCGTGATTGAACTTTTGACGGCACATATATTTATATAATCCCTGTAAAGCTGCTAACGATATTGAAAATTGATAAAAATAATCGACTATATTCTGTTAGTCGGTATATGAATACATATACTTACGATATCTCCACAGAAGTGGGTTTTCGTTCTTTACAAAAATAAGTTTTAGGTTTAATTAACATTTATTCCTAACACATATTGGAAAATTTTTAACTTTTTAAAAATAAAAGTATCAGTTATTTAAATTTATTTGAATTATTTGCGCTTCGTACTACGCGTAGTAATTGTTTTGGGGTTGGGGCTTCCCATTAGGGCGGCTGTGTCACTCTTCGCTGCCGTATTAAAGGCCCAATAATATTATATGCTACCATTCGCCCGTCACCTCATCAGTAATCAATTACAATAGGACATGTATATGCATTTGGCATGAAAATCACATTTAAAAGCATTGAATTCATTTTGTATTGCGCGAAAATTGAAGTAATGTAATAAAGTCCGGGGGAAAATAGTAGCGCATCACCCCCGTTTCGACTTCATTAAAACTCATTAGGTCTAATACAATGTAATGTCAAAGTGATGCCAAATATTGCAGCTTATTGGAACGAGCCGAGACTCAATTGGCGATAAGCAAAATACAATATTCGTAAGAATTTCGATTTGTATTACAGATCCCTGTCTTTAAATAATACAGAATGCGACATAACAGAGTTATAAAAACATATCGAGCTACCTTATAAGATTATACTACAATTTCCGTTAGTTGTGTTTCTGAGGGGAGTATTCGAGGAATTTTAATGGGAGGGAGAATTGTAAGATGCTGAAACTTTCACTTGTGTTCGATTTTCGACGGTGTCACATTCTGAATGGCAAACTATTTAATGACCAAACTAAACGTGTGATTTCATTAAACTCGTTGTTTGTATATGTTTGTCTTGAATTACAGATTTGCTTATTGGGAAATGGCATATACTGAGCTGACTTTACGAGACTCCGGTCGGCAGGGCATCTCTGTTTCCGGGGCTAGCCCAAAAGTTCGGCATTTCAGCGCCGTGCCACTAACACCAGGATACAATTAGCCTCACACGCGGAAGATTTTTAGTTCTTAATGTATTTGTGAGGCGCGTTCTCTACTCTAGGCGCTTGAAATCACTCCTATCCACCGACTTCTACTAACGAGATGTAATACCCCCCTTAATGGTGTAAATTGGAAAATGGCGTCCATACCTATTTACGCGAACCCAGAATTCAATTTATCACTTTGTCTTGTTGCCTCTACATAAATTTGGTTATGTTGCTACCCAAATCACATTATGCACCGCGCATAAAAGCTTTCTCCGTTTCAAAACTAATATTTTGGGCTTCGTTTTAGCTAACAATTATCATGAAAGACTGAAAATTGTCGAGCTTTTGTGACACGAAGTGTACGACAAAAGCCGAAGTTTTTTTTCAGTGTTGGGGAGTTGTCACACAATTCACTCTCAGTCAACGTCTCCCGCTCGTCATTGAAATCGATCAAGAAAAGAGCTAATTAATAGCCTCAATGAATGCCGAGTTTTTACACTGTAGTCTTTTTGCAAAAAAATTATATTATGATTTAAAGTCAATTTGGATTTTATACGAATACAATGAATAGATTCCGGTTAATTTTTTGTTGTTAAATCAATGATTTGACGGTTTGACGCACAGAATGGAAAAAAGCTATTCATTGACGTTGTTTTATTATTATTCTGGATTCAGCTTTGAAAGTAGAAGAGAATGTAGATCCCGTTAACTAGCACTATAGAATAGTTATACAGACTCAACAGATTTTGTTATAGATCTAACCGACAAATCTTAGCCAAATAAAATGATGCAATAAAATAACGTCAATCCGTGTAGCATCAAGTGAGAGAGACGGCTTGCACTTAATGCTTAATATTAGTGTGACATAGGGGATGAGGGATTGTTCGATATCAACGGCAGTCATACTATTGTCATCACAGATTCTCCACTCTAAAGAGCGTATCCATGACTTAGTGTTAGAATCTCGATTCGACTCTGAAACTAAAAATGATCTGTTGGAGAAAACTAAAGATTTTGAATACAACAAATGAAGTTTGTCACGTTTTTTCCGATTTGCAGATGTGGGATTGGGAGAGGGGGGTCGATATCAAACCCAAACTCATGTAAGCATCCAAACAAACGGTTCGCCGATTAAGGTTATTGTCATGCGATTTGACAAATGTCCTGAGTTGCTGAATGCGACTTGCTTTGTGTCAGCCGGCTGACTTTGGAAAATTGCATACAAAATTGGCGCGATTAGCTGGTGAAACGAGCGATGAAAAGTAAAAAAAAAAGTATGAGCTAAAATATAATTAGATGAAAATGCTGGAAATCATGAAATGTGACATGAAGCTTTCAGCGTGGTAATGAACGGATGGAATGAAATCTACCTGACACCAGTGTTTTTAGTTTTAGAAATTCTCGTCTCTTGTTATAAATATTAAATGTAAAAACACTTGAGAAGATATTTCTTTCCTTACCCCGGCAGTAGTAAATGTGATGGAATAAGAAGAGGTATCTTCATTCGCGCTCTGAAATGAATACTACGAGGTATATTAAAACGACACCCAATTGGCACTCGTAAGTATGCATACATCCATATATCGAAACATTCCATGGGCTTCGGTTTCAAGCAAGTGTATAACACGGGCATGACCGCGATAAAAGAAAATACAGCACCTCCATAATATGCATAGAAAACTGCAAATTATTTTATTTTCCTTAACATATTGTATTTTTGTGCTGTTATGTAGGCAAAGAGGCCATGCACACAGCGAACCAAACGCACTGCTCATAGATGACAATGCATTCGTGACGAAGTCGTGAAAAATGCAATAAACACCGTAGAATGATGTATTTATAAACACATTGAACAGGTTTCTCCCGACTGAGCCAAATTACTACCATCGACAACTGCTTTTATTATTGCCTATACAAACGCGATATTCTTATCATCAATTGTTAAATTATAGCTGTATATCGATACATTCCCGCTGTCTCGCCACGCCGTGAAGCTGAGCGGGAGAGAGACATTTCTATGGCCGCAATAGGAGTCGCCCACCGCGAAGTCACGCTGCGATACTCTTACTAGACGGGGAGATTGTCGAGGGAAATAGGGCAATCGTTCTTACGAGTATACCTCATTCCCAGGTTATAAATTATGGATGGGTATATAAATAATAGAAGCAACTTGTTTTTATTATCTCAATTGGTCTTCAAACGGTGAGGTGAACTCCAGAATTGTAATACACATTGTTCGACACGGTAAGCGGAGTCCCCAGGTCCGTCCACATGGTCCACAGAAATGTACCCTTGCGTATGAAATAAAACGATAACCAACCACGATGTGTTTCGAAAATGTATGTATGTTCATATTACTCCTCTCTTCCGTACACCAGTGTAATCTCCCAACTAAATAGTTTCAAGTTCGTATCCTTTCTATATCGAGCTTGAAATTGTATTTCTTTTCTTTTTTTCTAGTGATTACAAAATTCACTAATCCACTTTGCAGGGGTTTAACTACCTTACCTCAACCACCGACCTTAAAGAACGGCCAGAAATGAATGGTTGAGCATTTAATGTTGATGGAATTGGTAATGGGTAGATTTAATTGCAAAGAATGATATTCAAGACACACATTGTAATATTAAGTAATGGCCTTTACCTGCACTCGTACTTCCGGCAGGTTTACTTTTAGCGCCAGTTCCTCTCGACTATACACGTCTGGGTAGTGACTCTTCTCGAAAGCTCTCTCCAGTTCGTGAAGCTGAAACGTGGTGAAGGTAGTCCGATTTCGGCGGTGTTTCTTTTTTGGCTCGTCCGAGTTATTATTATCGTTGCCCATCGAGTCATCGTGTGAGTGCTTCATATCTTCGTCGGAACTGTAACCCAACTTGTCGTTATGCTCACTCCGCTCACCCTCGTCTGTCGCTGAAATGTTAAATACCATGTGATGGTGAATGTGTGACCCTATCGCACCCTTCGGTATGATACGGTAGTTAAGTGACATCAGTTGTGCTGTTTGGGAATTTTACAAGACTACTACATGGGCTGCATGCTACAAGAACTATTTTAAGGGAAAGGGATAATTTCAAACTAAAATTCAATTCAAGATGCAGGTGACTAAAGCAAATAAATAAAAACTGCTCTTGCACATACTAGTATTACCGCGTCATAGTGCCACTTAAGAATATATTATGCAAAAAGGGGTCATGATTATGACATTCTAAATCACCAACCAGATAACTCGGTATAAAGTAAAAACTTCTGAATTAGTTCAATATTATTTTAAACTTTTTTCACATCGTTTTGTGTTGGCATCTTTAAAAATCTCAGGCAATATTGCACCCGTGTTGGGTTAACCCTTGGCATGGTATCGCTTACACCCACTTCATTGTCATCGTACCCAGTGATATCTTCATCTGCAATAATATATTTGGATGCTAAAAAGAATTAAACCCGTCCAAAAATGCAGTTTAAACATGTTTTAGTATATATTTACTGTAAAATATTCAACTCAGAAGAAGGCAAAAGTAAAATCGTAAAAGTGCTTGAGAAGTATGCATCTGGGACGTCATGTTACCTATTACCGTGCCATGCATTGACGTGGCATCGCTTATAACGAGTACATGCACTCCATCGTATACTGCTTTCCGTAGCCACCTATCTTAGTAACTTTGTGCATCGGCGTAGAAGGGATAGTCATGCATATACGCAAGAAAAACATTGCACTTAGAACGATAACATCGATGGTAGCTGTAACAGCTCACTGGGGGAGAGACCCGGGGGATTCGAGGGATGATACTGACGAGATTTCGACGCCGCCTGACTGATCGGTCGATTCTGTTGTATTTCACGTTCGTAACTACCCAAGCATGGGGATTGTTTGTATCAATTTATTGTTGTTTTTTTCGTGCCGTCCTACAGTGAGTATGCTTGGAGTATACGCAATACTGACAAACATTTAGATGCGTTTCAGCAGGTCGAAGCTTCCAACCACCCCCATGTGTACATGCCTGAGTTTTGAACCATATACAAGACAGACGCGTATTACTACCGAACTAATTCAGTATTCCCCACTATGTTATTTACGACTAATTAAGGAAATTGAAAATAGAAACACACATTTGATAATAAATGTTATCATATCACCAAAGTTATTTTTCAACAAAATATCCACGTCGAGGGCACGGAACTCGCAACATGGACCGGTTAAATTGTTGTTGACAAACTTTAATTGTAGCCGGGTATCTAATCTAATCACAACACGTATCATCTACTAATAATTTTATTATACGATGTATATTTCACTTCGTCATTTCATAAAATATACCATAGCCTGCTTTTAGCTGCAAAGGATTATGACGAGTCGGAAAACCGTGTATCCTACTCGGGGCCAGCTGCTCGATATTTCCGACCAATTCAAATGGTGCATGACCGGTTGTCAAAATCCAATTTTAATAAATATTTTAATAATATTTAGGAAAACGCAATTTACAAATAGCCCCAATACTGGTGCAAATGAAGGTCAATAGTAAGGGTGGCTCGTCCGGTACAATCCGTGGTATCGTGTTGGTGAGTTGTTGTCTGAAACGTACCGATCGACCACACTGCAGCAAAGACCATGTCGTTGTTTTTCAACATTACAATACCAGTGGTATTTCTTCGTTCAGGTTCTTTCAGAAATAAAACAATGTTTTTGTATCAAGCTAGGTTATAACTCTAACGGAGGAATCTTTTTTGAGGAGACAGTTTTAGATAGTTTTGTTTACGAATTTGTAATCCCTGGGACAAGAACTCGGAAATGCCACCAAGCGACCTTACGAATGGTGTCTAGAACAACTTATCTAAAACCGTATTTTATAAGATAATGCCTAACCTCGAAAGAAGCCACATATCGCCCCTAAACCCAACGAAAATTTTGGGACTAGCTAACATTGTTGGACGTGGATTGCGTCAATTAAAAGTGTTATAAAAAACAATTGAATAATAAACACTACACACGTGTACATTTCATCACCAAAACAACTAGCGAAATGTGTGTAGTTTGAGGAGAGAAGAGTGGAATGGTGAAGTAGTTAAAAATAAGGTAAATATGACGTACATGTGACGTGTTCCTCTTCCAACATACTGTACTTATCGTCACATAGCGTGTTCTGTGGAAGGGGTGACGTCGTGACATCTTCGATGGGACTGCTTACGCCGTTACTCCCTTCGTGTAGTATATTGTTCATCTCTTTCCTACGGAAACCGAGGCCCAGGATAGCGTCTATAGAGTGGCTCGGACTGCTGTGGCTTGTCGGAGGGCATGCCGGCGTGTTTGACGTCCTGTCTCCCGCAGCGAGGCAAGCTCCGTCGCCGTTTGCATTCGCTAACGGTGATGTGACGGAAGCCGGGGCAGTGCTCATGGGTGGATGGGGTGCCAGGCTGGCTGAGGATCTCTGTACACAAAAGAAAAGTAACGTTGGCACTGACGAGTTGTGCGTTCCGTTGGATTCCGATGGGGGTTTGCAAGCTTGTTTCGTTCAGTTCGTTCGTTGCACAGCGGATTTGTATATATGGTCGACCTTGTTGCAGCTGAGCGCTTATAGGTGGATCGCCTGTCAGCTAGACTACCCATTGTCAGATACCTCAAAACTAAACATGTTTTATTAACTAGCTGGGCGGGACTCTTGTTTATAGTGACATCCTATGATAGACAGTTGCACCAGTCTGGGAAATGTGGCAAACGAGCTCCGTTGTACTGAGTAATATATGTATATTCCCAAATGGTGACATTCTTATAACCCTCTAACAGCTAGCACAGTTTTCTTTCATTATTCGGCAAAATATAATTAATAATAATTCAGATTATGAAAATATTCACCGTAAAATACCGTTTGTATGTGTGTTTTTGCAGGAACAGAGATAATGCTATCACCGTATGTGTTTATTTCTTTTTATAATACTAAGCACTGTTTTCTGGTGTGTATTTCATTCGTTGAAATGCTGTGGGCAGGGTGTTCACCGCGCCCGTATGCCCAATTAACGAGACTGTGCATTTAATACGTTGACGCAACGGGAATAGACTTGGCAATGCGCATAGCCACACGGGCTGTAAGTATAAGAAACAATAGCAGTATGAATGACAGGGCACTGTGAATGTTTGGCTGTATTGATAAGCCATGTTTGTGTCCGTATTGTTTTCAATGCTAAACGAATGGGAGGAGCCTTTGATCCGCTCATTATCCGTTTGCTTTGATGGGTCTCATAATAAACAATACGTGAAACGAACGGGAATTCGACAAACTTTTCTCAAAGATTGTAGTAGGTAAGTCGAAAGAGAAAAGTAAAAAATACTGAAAATAAAACTGTATATAAAATTGTTTACCCATTCGGTATATTCGGGACATGTTCAATGTCACGAGACAAAATGAAACCATAATCTTTAACACGTATAAGTGCAAATTTGGGGACTGTCTTAACGAAAGGTACCCTGCCCACTTTGAATTATCACGTCTTTATGTTTACACGGTCACTGCTTTCTCACCTTCAATAGCAGTTGGCCAGAGGCGACAGTCATCCTCGCCAATCCTGGCCAATGCCACAGCCACGGCAACTATACTATCTAGTTCGCGAATGATGTTGTTACATATACTTGGCCCAGCTTGCTCACGAGGAGAAACAAACCTTGCAACGTCAACACTACATGGGTCCCAGTGAATTGGGAAACCCTGGTTTATGTGTTGCAAGCTATCTAAAGACTTCAATGAGATGGCCATTAGCTATCACTTTGTGAAAAAAAAATAAGCTTGTTTCATGAGGGCTCGGCGAAAAGACTCGGCTAAATGCGTTTCTTGAATCAGTACTGAATGGATTTACTATGGAAAGAGTACAAACAGAAAAGCTTTGATATGTCTGGCATTGTGCAGATCTCCTCTATGGGCACTGTACCTGGTGTCATGAATGGGAATTTGTCAGCTCTGTCTTCGTCAATCTTAATACATTGCAGCATAAAAAAAGGATCTTGCAAACACTATAAACTCTTTCTAAATGCATCAGGACGGTGCCTCGGGACGGCAGATTGTTTAAATCAGTCAGGAGGGGGCATATTTGCCAACACTATACTTGGTTTAAGTACGGCAATTGATACGGGCATATATCGGGGACCTATTTTGTTTTGATACTGTAGCGAAATCTCGCCACGTTGTCGAGTATTCGATGTGATGTAAGAACATTGAAGGCGTAATTAAAATTCCATATTAATTAATTTAGATTAACAATGAATTGAAATGTATAATAAATTAAATTATTACGTAATATTACCACCATAAAATGGTATATTTATGTCAACAGCTTTAAAGAACGATGCTATAAATAGTTCAGAAAACGTTCCAAAATCAATACCATTACGAACGCTTCTGTTACATTGAAGTTCACATGCGTGGCACATCGAAAACACGCAATAGGATTGGTATTTCATGACTTGCCCGAAATGGCCTCGGGTAGGTTTTACCGTACACGATGTAAACCAGCTGAAATATTGTTTTGTATTCATTTTGAATTCAAAAGCGACCTTAATTGCTCATTTTTTTACGATTGACTTCATACTGATGTATATTTGCACACAAGTGAAATTGAACAACATTGACTGTGTGTAACGTACAACAATGATAACGTAGCGACCACTTACTCACATAAGTACGTGATAGTACATGTCATTTTCAAGTCAGATTCAGCTGATCCATGCGAGCCAGTGCTTGACCCGCGTGTCTGATTACACACTAATTTCAGCAATGTGATATAATTTTATTTTACAAAGAAGGAAATTTATCTACTCCAAAGCAATATTTTGTTAAATGATTACTAATTGCCGACGATTGTTTTACGTTACGACATTGGACATCTACGCTAGAAGCTTCAACTTCTCGGGGATAGTTTTACGTTACGACATTGGACATCTACGCTGGAAGCTTCAACTTCTCGGGGATAGTTTGTGTTTATCAATATGAATGATGTGAGGCGGGTTTAATAATTTACAGATCAAGTAAAAAAAACAGATTACAATTCATGTTTTATACTAATTAACTCATGTAAAACACCGCTACTATATCATGCATGTTTTTATGTCGTTATTCGCTGAGCGCTGTCGGGCACTGTGAGGCCATTGGTGCATTCAGTTTGGCATCAGCGTTAGACAGCTGCTTGGTAAGAGCCATGGGCCAGTGTAGGTGTGGGCAAAAAACGGACATGTAATACTATTATGTCCGCTGTGGAGTCAAACAAAACAAAACCAACATAAGCACTTGTTTAATTTTACTTCGATTGGCGCCACCAGCATAGTAGAAATCCCACTAGCCAATGCAGAGTGCATTGTTTTGTCCGTGGTAAACGATTGAATAGGGAAGAGCTATTCTTTTGAAGCATGAGTAAACCAAGCTAAAGCAGCCTATTATGAATCATTAAGTCTTAAGAAGTATTCATTAGTCTGCCATTGTCCGTCCCTAATTAATTAGACCTTTAAGCAGCAATTAGAAAAGTACAACTGGGCTGGTATTAGCCCACCTCCCTACCACGTAAATATATCAAAACCCAACAAACCATAGTTGTATCGTATATATAAAAAACATATTGTTGTTTTAATAAGTCTTCAATTGTTCGTCTTGTTAAAGAATCATAAACACGTTTGGAAGCAGTGCGGGGTGTCTCTCGCTGTTGTAGTCCTCTTTAAAAGACTACCATAGCAATGTCAAGTTTGTGACGCAAGGGATTAATCTACGCGAAAACGTCTTGTGATAGTAGTCTATATGATATTTAACTGCCAGGATGGGAAACCCTGTTTGTTGAATACAATAAAACATTCAAACAAGCCACATGCGAAGTCTCGGGAATCGATCCGCGCCCTGTATCCGTGCACATACACAGACAGTGAAATCGCTCGCTTTAATGCCAATCACTGTACCTTTCTTTCACACCGGTAATGTTGTCAATATCAGAGGAATTGTCAGTTTCAACAGTACTGCTCTCTTCCGTTCCTTTGTACATTTCACTTTTAGTGCTTACTTTATTTCATATCGAACACACCCTATTCAAGCAACGAAGCGTTCTATAATCAGACGGCATCTTTCGGAAGCCTTGCATTATAGTCTCAATTTATAGAATACTTACCGAAGTATTGACGCCAGCCCAATCATAATAGGCAAGGATTTAAATTTTTTAAATATATTTATATATTTAAGAATATTAAAGGAATAATAATGGAACGGTGGCCGTATGTGTCATGTTTATTGATGGTAATTGTTGATTTTGCCGTAGTACTAGTAACTCGTTCATTCCGAGACTACAAACATAATGTGAATTGTTTAGTTTCCGCTGTTTCAGAGAGCCGTACGCGGAGAATACACATTTGTTTTTATTCACATTCCAATTCTTGTTTAATTGTGAGTTTTTGTCAAACGGAAAATAAAAGTATTCTGTAATTTTACCGATATTTTTTTTAAAGTCACCGGAAAACGTCGTCAGACACGATATACACGGTCGCGCATGCCATAATTGTAACGTTTGACTGCGTTAAACTATAAACTACAACCATATACTTAAATTATGATGATAATGTGTATGACACCTCAGTAAAATAAACATTGAACAACATTGTTTATTAACTTAATCATATGACCTATATGGTATATAGCTTAATTTAATTTCCCTCTGGGTCGACTCAGACGAGCGTTCGCAATTATATAAATATGTATAGCATATAATACTGTTGGAGGGCTTTTGTTTGTACCCCAATTACAGTAATTGCCCGATCGTTTTGCACGGCTACAATGACCGAATTTTCCTTCCAATAATGGCGATATGTTCCACCATTTTAGTAGAATTACTAATAATAATATATCTTACGCATGAAAAAAATGTGTTGTTCTCGGAATTGCTACAAACGGACTGAAACACGAAAGAAGGAATGTGGCATTAATAAGTGCAGCACATCACGCTTGTCGTCAGCCGGACATGAGAAGGGGTGGGGAGGGGGGGTTGCAATGCTCTATCGTGAGACAGGCTGACTGGCCTAATGAAGCTGTTTTGTTAAGTAAGAAAAAACGCTGACCAATTAAAGCCCTTATTGAGATCTATTGTGGGGTCATAGTGTCACCTCCCGTCGCGGTTGACCACCTCCACTGACTGTAGTGGAAACCCCCCGTTGATACCGTGACACCACCACCTTTGCTACCGACATAATGTTGATTACTGTGAAAACAAAAACACCCGTAGCATTTTATGTACGATTTCAATTTCAATGGTATATAAATACTCAAATATGATCGATTGGAGCAATAGATAGTTCCACTTTTCCGATGATACTATTTTCTTTACTTGAATGCTCGAGTTTAACTGTTACAATGACTAGAATTGGCCATGAAATTGACATGATTGGCGAGGTTTTTTTTTGTTAATGAATACCCCCTTTGACGCACTCGACTTTGATGGTTTTTTAACGGGCTGTATTAATCCCCATCGTTTTCTAACCTCCCCAGCCTTCTCGTGTGTACCCGACAATAGGGCG